GGGATCATAGCAAGACACTAAACACATCTCAGGTTATACTATTCTGAATGCGTACAACAATTAGATATTAGGTGTAAGCGGTCTTCAGTGGTATGATGGACCAAAACATACTTTTTTCCAAATAATCAAAAAATGATGTACTCTTGGGAGTTATGTAGCCAAATGTCCCAACGTTGTGTGTTTTTACAGAATCTCTTTTAAAAAAATTAAACAGAATAGCAAACGAGCTCCTGTGTATGGCTATAGCATGTGCAAAACCAAATTTTAAACCTGATGTTAGTTTTGCTTTTATTTAACGTGTATATGTATGAAATTTCATTTGAATGCCTCCATAAATAAGAAAGTTGGCACTGCGCATGCGCAAAACCAAATTTTAAACTTGTGTTAAATTTTCTTTTATTCCAAGTGGCTATGTATCAAATTTCATTTAAATCCCTCCATAAATGAGAAAGTTGGCACTGCGCATGCGCAAAACCAAATTTTGAAAACTGGCGTTAAATTTGTTTTTATTCCAAGTGGCTATGTATCAAATTTCATGTAAATACCTTCATAAATAAGAAGGTTTGTAATTCGGTCTGTAAATGGTCGAGATACGCAAAATGGCACTGTGAATGCTGATCGATTAGGCTCAACTTTTGGAATTGTGTTTAATATGGCTAAAGCAATGCGCATATTGAATTTCATGCAATTCGGTTCATAACTAACGAAGATGTCAAAAGGGCCTACTTTATTTTTTGGGCTACATTGCCAATTCACGAACTCCGATCTACAAATTTGATAAAGAATCCACCTGCAAAATTTCATCGTGATCGGTCCATTCGTTTATGAGTTATCGTGCTAACGGACGGACGGACGGACAGACACCGCAAAATTATAAACTCGCTAGGAGCTCGTTAATAAATTACCAAAACATTACTTAGGGTGAGAGCGAATTTAAGGCGGGTAGAATAGTTATTCAGGAATCATCTACTATACCTCTAAAATAGAGTTGCTTAGTGCCTTATACTGTGTCGCCATCGTATGTAATATGGGTACAGTGACTGTATAAACACAGTGTAGTCAAAATGCTCCATGTCGGCCAGGTTTTTCACAATTTATCGTTGAGGTGATTGGTTTAACCAAATTGGTAGATTTTGCTATGGTTACAATAATGCTAGCTCACAATTGTGTCCAGCAAGATAAATACATCACCTTCGTTTCCCGGTTAATTGCTACCAATCCAGTGTATTTGACCAAAACATGGCGGATCTCCCAATTACCAATAGAAAATAGCACCACACTGTCACTATAAAGTCACCGTAGATAAGGGCAGCCAGTCACGCGACCGACAGAGCAACTACAGATTATTTATTCAATAACCAGCGACCATTCTTGACCACCAGTGGTATCCGGTCTGGTCGTGGGATAGAGACACCGTTATGGGGATGTCCAGGAATACAGAGAACCTGCAACTCTATTTTATAGTATGATTGCAATAGTTTTCGGATGGTAAGGTAGGAGTCTCAAAAAAACAAATCGAATAACAATTTACAGTGAATATTTGCGAACCCCTTCCTTAGTTTTACCGATCCATATTTTCAGTTTCCCAAACCACATACCTACAGGTAATTCTATCTAGGCGAAATTAGAAGATGTCGAATGATTTCCAAGGATATTAATCGAAATTCAAGGATATCCTTGAGAATCTCCGGATGTCCGAAGATATCTGGTGGATATTCATGTAACTACTACAGATTTCTTGAAAAAAAAAATGTCTTAGATCTTAGATTTAGTCGAGAGCAGTTCGTCTCTTAAGCATCTGGAGAACTTAAGTTTCATTTCTCAAAATCTATTCAATGGATCAAAAAATATCCCTAAATTGTATAGCCTACGCCCCAGTATAAAGTATTACCATCTTACACCTTGTCGAAGGCATGGTTCTGGAGGAGGAGCATCATAGTCCGATGTTCCGGGCGAAACGGATGAATATGTGCATGAAATTCATATGAAGGATACACACCTATTGTACAGGGACCTTACTATATTCCTCTGGCTCATAGACCTGCGATCGATGCGGAATTAACACGAATGGAGAAGAGATGCCTATCCCTATACAAGCGTCTCGGTCTTCTGCAAATATTGTATGAGTTCAACGTTTTCTGGAACTTCGAGGGCGAGTCAAATGAAAGTGAACCAATGCGAATATATGACAAACAACGTACTTTATTTAAAAGTAGCCTCCATGAATATACTGTCCTAAGTATCTGAACATCTAGTGTACTTTGATACATTTTTATGAAATTTTCAGGACAGTTGTATTTATTTCGAAATAATAAACGATGGAAATTTGAACAATTTTCCTGAAAATTTCATCAAAATTGATCAAAAGTGCATTTGGTGTTCAGGTAGGTACTTATGGCGGGCAGTATATTTGGACATTTGTCCCACTGACTAACGAGCCGCGTGATTTCTTTCTCGAAAATGTGAAAGTCGCTACAAATCTGGACGATATGGAGGATGTTGCAGTGTTTACTTGAAATTTGACAATTTTTGACAATTTTGTCTTAACCACATCAGTGACATGGGGACGGGCATTATCGTATAGCAGGAACACAGCATTCGTCAATTCGTCGGCAGATTTCACATACTTTGCACCAAGCCTTCACAATGGCCAATGAGATGCAATGCACCATACACGGCAGTCATACAGCTACTAATTTCGTATTGGGGAACACCTTCAGCTGTTAAAAACCTGACCACAATGACACGTATGAGCGCATTACATTAAGGATTCAGGTTTTGTTCGATCTGTCTCCTTTCCCGACAGTGTTCCATCCAGGTCTTCGAGGACAAAAGAAATTCTGAAACCTGTAGCTGCTTCGCTACAAGGTCTGGCATCCTTTATGGTACCAGTGTTTGCCTTTTTTGAGCCACTTCCCTTGGGAGTGCTGCCATCAGACCGGCGTCGCTTTTGCGCCCCAGCATCAGCTTTAGTAGCACCAAATGGGAAGTCCGGTTCCCTAGAGCCCCCGGTAGGAACCTCACCTTTTTTAGTTCCCCGAGAATTTTTTGGGCTCTCCGGTACTAGGTGCTTCGGGAGTAGTTTTTGTGTTTTTTTGTTTTTCTTCTTTGTCCATATGAAAAAGCATTATGCGGGTCACTCTGTAATTGGGCGAAAGCCTGTTGAGGGCTCAGAACAAGAGAGGGATAATAAATAAATAAATCAATAATAAATAATGAATCCCACGAGTATGGAGGAATGGAATTGTCACACGTACGTGCGGAGCCCCCTGCTCACGAGTAATCTAACTCAAAATAGACTAGAGCCTGCACATCTACACTACATCAGAAAGCTTTTAGTGAAAATTTGAAGTCTCTAGCTATTGTAATTGCTGAGATCTCAGTCGGACAGCCAGCCGGCAATAACGAATATAATAGCGTATTTTTTTCCAAAAATGCGCTAAAAACGGATCAAATGCATGGCATAGATGGCTATAATCGGCATTCAACTCTACACGAATTTGTTTTAAAGGATAATCTGCGTCTGCTATGGAAACAGTAACTTGATTATTTAATGTCAAATTAGGATTAGCTATTAGTCTTTATTTTTATTATTAGCATCAAATTGTCATCTTTTAACATAAAAATGTCAGAAAATATAAAGGTGGCAACGTCAAAATTTTATTTGTGAAACATCCTGTAATGTGTTGTACAATTTCTCCGTTAGATATCGGCATTGTCGTCCCCATTCTTTGAAGTCGAATCCCTTCTTATGTAATTCCCCACCTGTTTGTGATTCTCTTTGTCCCTATAAAAGCGTGATTGTCGAGCCTTCCAGGGAGATTAATTCCTTTTCCTCTTACCGACCAGAACCAGAACCAGATTCCAGTCTGACTTACGACGATACACGAAACCGCAAGATCAAATGGTACTCGATTTTGGACCGTGATCATGCAAAGGAAGTGGATACATTTATACTTTTTGTTGTAATTATTCATACATCTATACGTACCTATTGTTACAAAAGAAATGCAAAACAAGAGTAAAACACTAACCAAGGCAAAACTTCTCATGGTATCTTGGGTAATAGTCAGAAGTTGCTTGTGTTTGCCTTGGATCTTAAAATGTGTACATTTATCTCGACATTTATTGTATTGTCTTTGAATCACTCCTACGAATACGAAAAAAGTTAATCGAATATTGAAGAAACTCTTTCTTTGAGTTTTAACTTCCCACTAAATTGAAGCAAACGTTGATGGTATTGTAAAGCGTGATCTCTATGAATTTCTAGGTTAGTTTAGGATTTGCCACAATTTGGTACCGCCTGTTTACGTAAGCAGCATAAAATACGCGTACGAATAAATCATGTGGGTACCTACCACCTAAAGAATGCGTTTCACTGAACCAACCTCGAAATTCCACAGGTTCACAAATTGGTGTTGCGCGGATGATTCCGCTGTCAAACCGCCGCATTTCATTTCGGAATTGATCTATAGTCCAGAATTGATTCATTGCAATCGTTTATTTCGAGCATTAGCTAAAACGCTTTCGTTGAAAATTAATGCGCCCAGTTTGAGATTCTTTAGATTTTGTCGGCGGGGTCGCAGCCCTTATTAAGAATTAAATATTATCATAAATCATTTTTTACTTTTGTTATGCGGAGGGTATTGTTGTTACTGATACCGTAGTTTGATGAACGTTATTTTAATGATTGGTAAGACGGGATTGAATTAACGTAAACTTTGCCCTTGTAAAATAGTGATGACATTTTAATGAGATTTGTTAATCTTTCTTTGTTATTAGTTAATATCCATCAATAGCGGTAATAGGGTTGGATGGTTGGCGTGGGATGCCGAGTTTAGCGTTCTTAATAGACACATCAGAACGTTCTAATTTAGTGTTCTTTACAATTTATCACTGTTCAACGAATGAGTTTGAGATTCTTTTAACAATTTAACCGTCTACCAAGTCGCTCGCAATTTGTTTAAGAAGGGTACCTACTAAACTAGCGTTTGTTTCAGATTTAACAATGCCATAACCGAATTTCTTAGATCCAACAGCGTGAACGAAGGTGAGTAATTTTAAATGTATAGGTACTGTAAGCTACATTTCAGTTTGTCAAATTAATTATTTATCTTAATTACGTGTAGATAAATCAGAATTAATTTTCTCGGTTAACACAGTTGGGAATGATCTTTCCCGGCAGTGTTTGAGCTTGGTAGTACATCTCTCTACCATGATCATCTAGATAAGATCGCATCCAATATTTCAAAACATACGATGTAGTAACATAAATAATCAGTAGTACGAGTTTCTTAAGAATTTTAATTCATTGTCTGTTCACTGGTAGTCACTTCTGTATACATAAACTGCTTCCAAAGAAGCATCATCGATGCGGCATAACCAAACCAACACAAAGTATATTTTTCAAATTTTAACTGTACTGGTCTTGCTTTTCTTAAAAGAATTTTACGTGGGCGGACTGGACACTTACTTATCTCTCTACTCTCTAATTATCTAAGAGCTTTATCAAGTTTGGTGTTTCTTGTACCTCAACTTCCAATACAATGTGTGCACAGCACATTCTTACGCGGACAATATTTTAATCCACCTGTATTAAACAACCTGTTAGATAAAATGAAAGGGCAACGCTCTAATGTTTAGAAAAATCGAAATAATGTACTTCCTTATCGTATACATAAATATATACAGAAGCATTGTATTCTGTTATTTAACGCTTTTCCATTCTGCGTTACGTGTATGCGACCATACGAGCGTAAAAGTTGCATTAATTCGCAAGACACTGCATAAAACGCGTGTCATTTTTAACAAGTTAAAAAGTAATCGTAAACGATTTACATAAAGCGCATTTCCACTTGCATTCATTTCCCATTTATAAGATGCAACTTCTGTTAAAATCGTAAAAATCCGGCCACAAATATGAAAGTTAGCGTTGCACATGGGCAATCCATTGTTGACGTGCTACTTCAATTTCAGTTTATGAGAAGAATTTCATTTCAATGCTTTTCTAAATAAGAAAGTTGGAACTGCGCATGCGCAAACCTAAATTTTGAAACTAATTGTTAGATTTTCCTTTGTTCCAAGCGCCTAAGTATCAAATTTCACTTAAATGGTGCCATAGATAAAAAAGTTGGCACTGCGCATGCGCAAAAGAAAATTTTGAGACTGGCGCTCGATGATCCTTTATTCCAAGTGCCGATGTATCAAATTTAATTTAAATTCTTCCGTAAATAAAATAGTTGGCACTGCGCATGCGCAAAACCAAATTTTGAAATTGGCGTTTGATTTTCCTTTATCCCAAGTGCCTATGTATCAAATTTCGTGTAAATTCTTCCGCAAATAAAAAAGTTGGCACTGCGCATGCGCAAAACCACATTTTGAAATTGGCGTTTGATTTTTCTTTATTACAAGTGCCTATGTATCAAATTTCATTCAAATACTTTTATAAGTAAAAAAGTTTGCAATTCGGTTTATAAATGGTCGAGATGCGAAAAGGGCACTGTGAATTTTGAATCGATCCGATTCAACTTTTGGCATTGCGTATTATATGGCTAAAGCTATGCCCATATTGAATTTCATGCAATTCAGTTCATAACTAACGGAGATGTAAAAGCGATCGAACATTTCTAAACTAAGTTATCGTTCACACGGACAGATAGATGGACAGACAGACAAAGGAACAGACGGAGAGACCAACCGGCAGGCGACAGATAGCAATGCAAAATTATAAACGATCTCTAGGATCGTTAATAAACGGCAAAAGTGTAAAATTATGGAACATGTAAAAAACGGTTTTTTTGTTTTTTTTATAATAACTTTTTTTGTAAGCGGTACAAAAAAAATTCCTTCCTTGGTACAAGACTCGACACCATAACGAACCAAATAGCGAAAAAAGTAGAACAATAGCTCTTAAGATAAAGAACTAGTAGCGTCGCAAAGTTATCGGACGGACGGACGGACGGACGGACGGACGGACGGACAAAGTGGCCACAATAGCGCATTTTTTTTTAATTTTTGTGATGATTCAATATAAGATACAGGGTGTCCAAGATAAAATTAGGTGTTCGAACCTGGGTTGAGGTGAATTTTTCATCTGTGGCAGAGATGGGAATTACCTTAGACTCGATTCGATTTTCATATCGAGCATTCTGCCGGCTACTCAGAATTAGGTTTTCCTGCAGTTTTCCTAATTCGTAAGGTAAATACCGGAGTAGTATAGAACAACCTAAGACCTTCTGCAGAGACATCTTTAAAAAGCATTATGGGGGTCACTCTGTAATTGGGCGCAAGCCTGTTGAGGGCCCAGAACGAGAGAGGAATAAATAAATAAATAAAAACGAAACCGATGAGGTACGAAAACGATTTGTGGTATTGATTGAAGAACTGGAAGAGAGTGATGTGTCGTCTGTGGTAACACAAGATTTACTTGCTAGTAGGGTAGGTTGGGGAGAGCTGCTACACCACTCCAAGGTTACCACAAGTTCAAGGTCGAGGTCATGGTTACTTCAAAGTCGAGGTCATGGTTACTTCAAGATTACCACACATTCAAGGCCGAGGTGACTACCACTCTTCAAGTACCATACAGTTAAACGAGTCACCCTTCACCAGGATACATTAAACACAAGTAATTTTTAACGTACATATATATTTTTTAAGATACAGAGCTCATACTTTAAAAAATACAGATATATTGATGTCAAAATGAATATTAAAGAAATTGTTCACACTTTGGAGGTTTTCAATATACGGTGGACAGCTTCGGCTTGAATGTGTGGTAATCTTGAAGTAACCATGACCTCGACCTTGAAATAACTATGACCTCGACCTTGAAGTAACCATGACATCGACCTTGAAGTAACCATGACCTCGACCTTGAAGTAACCATGACCTCGACCTCGACATTGAACGTGTGGTAACCTTGGAGTGGTGTAGCAGCTCTCCCCAGCCTACTCTACTCTTGCTGTTCCACAATCGTCTCGCAAAAAAGCCCCTGAAACATGTGAAAATACTGGTACGACGAAAGTTCCAGTTAAGCCATCGACATTGGATGGAAAAGCACCGTGGTCCACCTACTTGGAACAGCCGCCGCAGAAAGGAATAAGTGGAGAGTGGAAGAGAAGGCAACGTTCCTGATAGTTGCACTTACGTGGAGATGCGTTGTATGTTTTGCGTACGATTCCAGAACACCTGCAAAAGGATTTTGAACAAATAGTATCACAGTTAGAAGCTCGGTTTGGGAGAACATTTGCAATTGCGCAAAGATCAGGCTAAACTTTGCAAGAACTTGAAGCCGATATAACCCGGTTGACAAGATTGGCGTATACTACGGCTCCAGATAGCTTTATAGGGTAGCTGGAGGTGCAGACGTTCATTGATGGTGTTCTGGATGTGGAAGCGCTACAAGTTCTCAAACTTGCACGACATGAAATGCTGGAATAGGCTTTGGCACACGCCCTTGAGTTTGACGCTCCAAAGAAAACGTCTTGTGGTAATGCTCGCGTGCATCATTGATACAGAAGAAAAAAACGAGAATTTAAAAGAAATAATGAAAATATAACTGGAACAGCAACGGACATAACGACGGGAACTCCGATGCTGGGGCTGTGGTAAAAACGGGCACATTAAAATAAATTGCCCTGGCAGGTCAACGACCAATAAGCAGGAAAACTAGAACGGGTCGATGCGAAGGGGAGAAGATTGACCAACCTGAGTTAGGTATGTATGCCCCGGAGAAAGACATCCAAGTCGCATTTGGATTTTTGTAGATCTCAAACAAGCTCTCAAGTCCTCTCTAAAGCGGAAAGTAATTACTGTGTCACACGAAGAGAACTGCTAGCTGTCATAAATCGATCGAACATTTCCATAAGTATGGGATATGGTCAGAAGCAATTTAAGAGTCCAGAAAGTCAAGTTGCTAAATGGATGGAAAGACTTTGTAACACCGTGCGGGACGAAACTATCGTAATGCCGATGCCTTATCTAGAAAACCAAACTGGAAAGTGGAAGAGAAAAGGTCAATCTGGGAAGAGGTATCTCGATATGGTGCGGTATTAAAGGCGTATTGGGCTCAGTGGGTCTCGTTACGGTTAGAAGATGGTCTTTTTAAGAGAGTTCTGATGATTTTACTACTGCAAATGTACAGCTAGTGATACTGATACCGAAGACCAGGAAGTCTAAAGTTCAACGACAGATACATGATGGTATATCGGGAGAACATCTAGGAGTGACGAAAACTCTAGTTAAGGTGCGGGAACGATTCAACTGGTGAGTTGCAAACAAAATGTGAAGGGATTGTGAAAAAAAATGCAATGTGTGCCACAACCAACTGTGGGTTCCATTTGAAAGAATAGCCATTGATATCGCAGGCCTCTTCCCAGAGACAACTGTCGGAAACAAATACATCTTGGACTGTTTCAGTAAATGGACATCAGAAGCATATCTATGCTCTACCAAATCAAGTAACGACAACTGTGTCAGACGTTTTGGTGAAAGAACTTTTGGCAGATTTGGAGTACCCCTGAAACTACACTCTTACATGCGACGAAATTTTGAGTCCGCGCTATTCCAAAGCCTGTGCCAAGGGCATTCACAAGACCAGAACCACTGGTTTACACCCACAGTCAGATGGAATGGTAGAACGCATGAATAAGACAATAGGGAAGTACTTGTCAAAAGTTGTGCCCAACCATAAACATAATTGGGATGAATATCTTCATTTGCTCCCACTGGCGAACCGTTCTGCGGTGCAGGAATTAAGAGTCCGGCTTGCGTACTGTTTGGCCGACATCTCCGGTTGCCGTGTGATTTGAAGTTTGGTACAAAGTCCGCGATAATATGCAGTTAGCTAGCGACAGAGTGACAGTGCAGTACGACGTTAAGATCCAAGCTGGTGGTTATCAACTTGGAGATCTGGTTTGGTTGTATCGTCTCCAGAGGAGACGCGGGCTATCCCCGAAATTAGAAAGAGCTTGGGAAGGACCGTATACAGTCGACTTAATATATTTTGTTTTATTTATTTTATTTGATAATGAACGAATACGGATGTGATCTATTCTTTTCGATAAATATAACGTGAACATTCTGAAGCTTGAACACTTGAGAACATTCTAGAAAAAATGTTTCCTATGAAAATCGAATTGTGTTTCGAGTTTGTTCCAACTTAGATGCACTTATGTTATGTTATAAATTTTTAAGTGATCAATAATAATTACTGCTGTAAATTAATCAATTTTAAGATTGTTATAAATTTATTGTTAGTTAATTATAAATAAATGAAACCACGTAATTAATTTTACGTTATAGTATGATAACTAGAAGCGAAAGATTCCTTTTAATGACCAAGTAATGCATCCTGTATGGAACTCTTAAGATCCTTATTTTACTGCTATCAACAGCACTGGCATGATGCACCGAAATATTTTCACACACTATGTACATTCATTCTGTTTATCAAGTTAACGGGGAACTTTGTATTGCAGATACTTTAATTGGTGTACATTGCACCCATGGATTGAATAGAACTGGATACTTTATATGCAGATATTTAGTGGAACAGTGCAAATGGACTCCTGAACAATCTGTTAAAGGTATGTCAATAAAACGTACATGTTTATTAGATTGCCATTTGCCACGTCGTGGCTTAAAATATTTGCAGTATTTTTTGGTTTTGGCTAAAAATTACATATCAAATGAAGAGAAACTTGAAGTGGTTTTGTCTATCTATTCAATGTGTGTCTTTCCATACCTTCACGAGTATGTTTGGACTAATTTACACAACTGCTTCAATTCGGTTTTTTAAATCCATCCTCTGGGTTTCTCTGCAATTGCGAATAAATCTTTCGTCTTTATACAAGAGATTGGCGTTTTTAACATTTTAAATTTGCTTTATTGGCTTTGGGGTGTTTGAACAGTTTGCAAGCGCTATATTTGCATCTCTCTACGGAAGGCTTTAACCCCTACCTCCATGAGATGGAAGGCGGTCAACGAAGTGCAGGCTATAAGTGTCTGCGCATAGCAATAAAATCTTGTGCACGGGTAACGGAGTGTAACCCTCTGTACTTGTATTTCATTCTGCATGTTTAAACGACAGGAAGGTAGGTACTCGTCCACTCTGTCTCGATCCTCGCCTTCTCACTCCTCTATTTTCATAGAGGCTTTGTTACCAAGCATTGTCCCTTACCCTGATTCCCCTCATACCATCTTAGTTATTTATTTTGCCTCAACCGCAGTAATGAAGTAATTTATGACTCCTTATTATAACAATTTAATTTTTATTTTCTTTTTTCAGTTATTCTTTGCCTTTCTCCTTTTTTTATTCCTTCCTTTTTCGCTCCTTCCTTCCTGCTTAAACCCGGTAGCTCAGATGGTACCGCATGATTAACTTCGATCGCACTCTTTAACTGTAGATATGGGAAACATTGTTATACATAGGCGTAGAACTGTTCCAGTTATACTTTTATTTGAAAATGGTAACAAATTATAACATCCATTCGCATTTTTGATTGTCCATAATTACCAATATCATTTTGTTTTAGCATTTGAAATTGCCCGTGGACATAAGATAGAGCGAGAAGTGTATATAAGAGAAATAAACAAACACTTCAGTCAAATTAGCGGGCAGTCTGAAACGTATCCGAATAAGCGAAGTCGTACTTATTCTAACGTCGCGTCGGAAAGCACTAATGTCAACCTCTCTAGTGCTACACGACCTTTTCGAAATAATCCTCAAAGAGACAGAAGACACCAAACACGTACTAAAAATAAGCAGAATCATTTTCAAGAGGAACCACTTTCGTGGCGAAATCCCAAGGACAGGCAAAATTTATCAGTAAACCCTCGCTCCAGTTGCTGGAACAACAGAAATACTGCTCAAACATTACATTTAAACAAACCCTCTGCCGATTATTACCAGGTTTCTAATGTTCATGATGGTTTGTCCAACTGGGGAAATCTACATGAACGTCCCAACTGGAGGAATCGTGAAACGCCAACTGTTAATAATCCGAGTATGAGCCAGTGGAGATGTCGACGTAATTATAACAATCACGATCGTGCCTACTATGGTACGCCTAATTGAAGATTAAAAATTTGATGTCCAAAATGACTATTTCAGCTGAAATTAAAATAGCAACTCGTTTATTGTTTTATTTCGATCTAGTTGTGTATATCTGTTGAGTCTGTTTCGGTAATTAGTAAGTAGGTGCGAGGCCATACAGGCCGATCCTACACATTTCCTAAGGTTAATCGAGTTTTATGCAACTGGAACTGGCCCTAAATGGTTTACAGTTTGTCGAAAAAAGAGCAAGGTAACTTTTACAGTTTAGTAAATTTTTGACATGGATTTATAAATGAGTTGAAATAATAATCGTTACATTATTTTAATTCATGATCAAATTTTATATGAAACCTTCACTTAGATAGTACGTTGGTTGCTCTGAAAATTTCTACAAAATGACAGCTACTCAGATATTAGAAAAACTTAGTTTATAGTTCTTCAGAATGTTCTCTCTTTAGCTTAACGCATTTATACTGCTGTGTAAACAATGTCGGGTTGGAGGTTCAGGTTTAGGGTCACTCACCTGAAGCGGTGTAAAAAAGATTATTTCCTAGAATCATTAAGGATAGGAAAATTTTCGTTATCAATTTGTTTTGTTAATTCATTTATGTGACAGTTCAGATTTAATTTATTGGGTATTTCGTTTATTTTTTATAAAATATTAACGTAATTATCTAGAGATAAGGATGCTTAAAAAACTTTGTTTTCGTAAAAAATGTATTTTAGATAATATAATTCCGCGTAAAGTTTGCCTACGTGACTCGAGAAAGCGTCCTCTAGCAAGGTGTTGATAAGTTTGTCGAGTTGCAAATTTAAGAAGAGCAAATCTAGTGCTTTACGTCACGGTTAAGTGCGTTGTTTTCCTTTCGCAATTAGTGTTCTGTGTACCCGGATTTGTATTTGGATTTGTAACCGGAAACTGTAAATAGTCTTTCTTGATTTTGTTTAATTTGCACTTGAACGTATATGCGGAGTATGTTCACATGGACGCTGTTGTAGTTCAATATTGATAAGTGGGATTTTTTGTTTACTTTCACTTGTGTGTGTAGAATACATTTCGTTTGTGTAAAATCATGCAAATCGTGGGTTTATTCGATCCTTTTAACGATCCAGATAGATGTCTCATGCTGATCGTGGCCATTATCTGCTTTAGAATCCGGAGTTTGATGTTAAATTTAAAATTTTTTTATTGTGTCGGGATTCGGATGTGTTCTGGGAGAGATTTAATTAGAGAGCTGGTTAGGTTTAAGGTATGTCACACAATTATTGTCTCCTTTCATCATTTTCCGAACAGAAGCAGTATTTTTTTCAGTCATGGCAGAGATTAGACATCTCTCATGGAATTCGTCAAATAAAGTAACATAGCTGGATTCATATAAACTTACAGGTGCGGCTGCAGTAGGTAAGTACTTTTTACGAAATTGCTGAGGTACTGACACATCTCGGTGCCTTTTAGCAAGTGTCGTATCCATATGTCGGTGCCTGAATAAGCCTCATTTAAATTAATCAAGTTACGCCTCTTTATATTTCTCAGTCAACGAATAAAACGAAATAGGAGTGTCTATAATAGGTAGGTCTTTTGGATGGCATTGCGGTTTCTGTTTGTCGACAATTGGGCGGTGGTCGTTTCGGTAAGTATTTTCTGGCGGAAATGCACGTAGATATTTAATAAAAATAAACATGACGTGATGTAGTTTGACATGTAGACCTACTTTGATCGAATGACCCAGTTTTCTTTAGAAGATGGGGTAGGATTACGAAATATTACTTCCAATTTGCAATTGTTATGTGGAAACTACGAGTAAAACGACAATTCAGCACTACACACAACGTTAAATTAGTCAGTTACCAAGTTGCAAATATGCAAATTACCTATCGTATTCATTATGAAATCTAGAAAACACTATTAATAATAATAACGGTCTTTATTGTTTTAGTTAGTCACGAAAAATACACTGCCAAGGGCGAGATTCAGGAGTAGAAAGTCTACCCCGCAGCTCTTCCATCTAACCCATAATGATTCCACTTAATCGACAATGTTGTGGTCATTAGTAGGTAGAGATATAACACGGATTTTACTAGACATTGAATCACGGGAAAGAAATAAAAATATTAACAATAAGATAAAATAAGAAACAAAATTGAAAAGAGCTCTAATTATTATTGCCGTAGCAACTTCGAAATAATGCGAGTTCTAAATGTTTTGAAAGTGTACTTACTGATTTTAATTATTGATGTAAAAGTCATTGGCACTGGGGTTGCAGGTAAAAAAAACTCGCAATGAGAGAGTGCTTTGCACCCATTTGGTTCCACGCAATCTGTAATAAGACGTCAGTTTTAACTAAATAATTTCGATTATCTTTGATAGATTTATTTCAAATTAAAAAACTAACATTATAACTTAACCTTTACCCCCTCCCTTGCCTAACTCATTGGGGCGGCAAGTTTGTATTCCGCCCCGGGCACCAATGACAGACGGTACGCCACTGAGAGTTCGGAGCTCTGCTTTAAACGGACGGACAGACAAAGTCTTTGTCCGTCACCCGTTCCATAATTTTACACTTTTGCCGTTTTGGATACATAGGCGCTTGGAACAAAGGAAAATCTAACGTTAGTTTCAAAATTTAGATTTGCGCATGCGCAGTTCCAACTTTCTTATTTAGAAAAGCATTGAAATGAAATTCTTCTTATAAATTGAAATTGAAGTAGCACTTCAAAAATGGATTGCACATTTGCAACGCTAGCTTCCATATTTGTGGCCGGATTTTTACGATTTTAACAGAAGTTGCATCTTACAAATGGGAAATGAATGCAAGTGGAAATGCGCTTTATGTAAATCGTTTACGATTACTTTTTAACTTGTTAGGTTTAAATGACTGTGGGTAACTGCATGATTTATACCGTCTAGTAAGAAAGTGTACTTATTATTTGCATCTGTAAGATCAGGGAAGCCCTTATTCACCTTTGTACTAGGTCTACTATATCTTTTTGTTGGGGTGTTATGGGAAGGGAAGGAGGGGCATTCAATGTAACTGAACCTTAAAGTACGTAATTATCAAAACTACAAATAAGTAAATATGAAAGCATTATTAGAGACAATCGTTAGGTACCTTGTTAGGTACTGATGGGAATGTGTTGCGAAAGCGAAACTAGTGAGGTCATAAACATTACCAAATGATATGAAAACTACACTGACCACTATGATGTACACTACAGGGTGTTCGAAACGTATAGGGCTTGGACACATGTTATATAACGTTGCGCTCTGCATCTTGAAAATGTGCAGGTGTAGTTCGTCATAAGTTTCTTTAATTTGTTTTCCTAATCAAAATCAAACGATGAAATAAAATTCGTTTGTCTGTTTACGCAGCATCCCACCATTCAATTGAGAAATTGGGTTGACAAAATAAGATTATTACCACAGATTAACTAATTACTGTTAATAAAGGTGCATTTGAAATTCGTGTTCGTTGCTTTCATACTGTGCGTCGTAAGAAACAATTTATATTTAAAGTATTTAATTATATAAACAACCTTCTGCAAATGCAAAAATAAAATCCGTCTAGACTCTAGAGCTTTCCATTTTCTTGCCCCTTTCGCCCCTTTGGGAAGTACTTATAAAGTTGTAAAGACTCATATTAGACAAATAATTTATCTTTGTTGGATCTAATCCAAATACTTGTTGAGTATGTCCATTTGTATTACTATCGGTTAAATAATTATAACTTTTATGTTGCCAAAACCCAACAGATTCTCATATTTTATTCGAGAAAGCATACGATTCGGAACTCCTAATTGTTTTAGCAAAGCTTCTATTCCACTGCAATTATTATTTATTAGACATAGAGACCAGGAAAAATAATTTATGGGTAGCGATTTATGGTGACATTTCCACTAAAATAGGAATAGTAAAAAGTGTAAGTTAATAAATTAGATACTTAATTCTCATTGTCAACACAATCTCGTCGTATCTTCCTTGCCTGTCAACAAATTCGACTAATAACAACTTAAGGGAGAACAATAGCACCTTTAGTATTAGCGTTTTGTAAAAAAAACCGGACAACAATCGTAAGAATAAAAATTATGAGGGTCGTTTATATACAACAAAAATCGATTAGAGTTAAGTACTAAAAAACTTGTAGTAAACGTTTAAATTCGATAAAAATCATTGATATTATTAATACGGCAACATCAATTTCACAATCTACTTTGTGTTGCGCATTTTTTAAGTGGAACTTGGTAAATTTACGGCACCGATAAGAATGTATAGGCGCCGCCGGTTGAAAGTTGCTCGACACCGGAAGATTGTTAAAAATCTTTGTTAACCCACACTATCGTACCATCAAGAATCTATAAATTGTTATTTTTAGTTATCGATTAAATAGATGCCTTTCTTTAAACCCATCCTTTTAGTACTTAATTAGTGCGCACCACTACACGGAAGCAGGGAATGTGAGAGATGTTCGAGATTAAAAAAAGAGTGTTTTGTTTAAAATTCTTTTACGGCTCAAACTTAGACGGATACCGTCCCAACCTGCCTTTCCAATTAAGCAACATCTCGTGCGGGAAGCCTTTTTTAAGTTTTATCATAACAAAAAGACTTCGACACCATATTTCAACGTATGCCGTGAGAAGTCTACGCAACAAAACGCCTACCGGTCAATAATTTCGCAATTCGTTTTAATTTATGAGATGATACCTCCACGGGGAGCACAACTTTTAAATATGTGATATAAATATAGCCTTTTGTATGAAACCGGACAAGAATCCAATAAAATTAAGTCAATGGCGGTTAAACTCTCATTAACCTTCGTTATTCATCATTCTTAATTCTTCTTCACGAGTTATAACTGTTGAGTATTAAAAATATTATAGCCCTATATAACACTCCAATCTTGGATGCTTTCTTTGGATCAGGAATTTTTGCTATTTAGGTAAAATGTTTAATCCATATTTCTTCTAACTTCACTTACAATGAAATCGACAATAGAAAATGAGGGTGGGTCATTAGTGCGTGGATGGAAGATTATATTGCATAATCAAATTTAAGAGAAACACTGAAATTAAGGAAAATAGTGTCAAT